AACTACTTATGCGAGTTATCGTTTTACGTAGAGGTAAGTAACTTGCACATCACAGCTACATTTAACATTCTCATAAAATCCGACAGAACGAAAACTCCCCTTTCACGTTTGTCTTTTTCAGATCTACCTCAATTTCCACATGGCCTACAGGAACAACATTGGTGAAGTTATTTCTGATGGAAAAACATTATTGACTAATTACGTAAAAGGAAAGTTTTTTCTCGATGTTTTGGCTTCTTTTCCTATTGATCTTTTCGCCCTGGCTGCACCTTCGAACAAGCGGCTACTGGTGTTGTCATACCTACGGCTGCTTCATTTGCTTCGCCTCGTACGAATGCAACAGTTTTTCTCAGAACTGGCCCAGAGGTTAAACATCGAGTAAGTATCGTCTTCCAAGTACTGGGTAAACATGCTTTTTCTTCTTAGTCTGTTGTTTTAATTTTTCTGAATTTAATAAATGAAGAAGGTTAGAGATCGGGGACAATTAAAGTGATACCAAGAGTCATTATGGCTCTTGGTAATACCTAGTCCTTCACGTCCACAAACACCTTTCCATAGAGCGAGCGTAGGGTGTTTATATGAAAGGGAAAGTTGACTCTTTGCCCTTAACCTTTGCCCGAGCCAACAGCCCTCGCGCATGCTTTGATTGTCTCGTCTTGATAGAGTTGACCTTGCTGAGCGAGCCAAGTTGTTTATATGGAGAAAAATTGGCCCTGTTCAGAGGGTGACCCACCAATCGCTAACGTGTGACCCGGCCAGTCGGGTCACCCTTCTAGCCAGGCCAACTCTCTGTTTCTAGTGTAAACAGTTCGCCACATTTTGTAAGGGAATGTATGGAAAGTTGGCTCACCCAGGGTAGCTCGGGTAGGAACAGGTATGTTCCCTGTACCCTGGAAAACTTTTCTCCATATTAACGGTGCTTTAGGAAAAATTTAAGTGGAATCGAGTTTAGGTTAACTTCAAACACCAGTCTCAAGCTGATGAATTTCTCAAAATTTTTACAAAAAGCGAACTAAAGGTAAAGATAATACTTTGACATCTGGTACAGATTGATTCTTGTTTCTTATTCGTAAACGTGATTCTAAATATGTGTTATTTTACGACCGCTGCACGAACGGCAGTCATTAATTGATGTTTTTTTCCTTTCGTTTTTAGCGTGTTTAAAATGCGTATGAGCAAATTTTTCTTCCAGCTAGTGATAGTGATTCATGTATTTGCTTGCGCATGGTATTGTTTAGCCTGCCCGCTAAATGAGTGCTATCCAGAAGAAAATTGGGTCAAACATCAAGGTAATTCATTTCACCAGTTACAGAATAAACTAGATTCAAGCACGTGACGACTGTTAAATTTCAGTTTTATACTATGCCGCAAGAATTGTCTGATTTTCCTTTTAATAATAATAATAATAATAATAATAATAATAATAATAATAATAATCAACTTTATTTAACAAGGGTAACACGGGACAGTACTTCAACTGAATAACTAGTGGCCGTCTTGAGGTAGTATTGCGCGCGCGGCTGACTTACAGCAGTTTTGGACCGAATGAAGATTGCGGATATACCTGACACACCGTGGTACTGTTGAAGTTGTTTCCGAGCACGATGAACCGATTGTGTTCGACACGATGGGGGAAGGAAGATTCTTTGGTGAGATTAGCGTGGTCTTCAGCTGTCCAAGAACAGCTTCTATCAGGTAAAATGGTTCGCCATATATAAAAAAAACCCTTTACCTTTACGTGATAGTGAATTCACTTCGAGCGTAGTTGTAAAACTGTGTCGCAACAGCTCTAAAAAAATCTACAGCATGAAACGCCCGGGTGTATGCTAAATTCGCACCTTCGAGGAACTCGGGCAATCACGTGCACAAGATTCCCCGTTGAGCTATCCCGGGGAAGTATATCCCGGGGAGGTACGAAGAAGTACTCAAGTGACAAAATCAAATGTAACAGCTGACTGAAAAGTCCTTCGCGAAAAGCTTTATGTGTGGTGGGTCCCAAGGTGGAGACGATGTCAGCAAGGTACCTACAATCCTGGACAAAAGTCCTTGGGACAGCAAGAGCATAACAGCAATTCTGTGCGTATCACAAGTAATATTAAAAAAAAAAACAGTGCTATCGATCATTTTAAAAATCCATAACCCCTCCCTCTTCCCCACCCAGTACAATGTTGAAAGATAAAAAAAAAAAATGCCTAGACGGTTTCAACACTGTCCGTGGGGTGGGGGGGGGGGATGGGGCCGTGCAGAGTTAGTAGCGCACGGATATTAATATTGCCTAATTTCATGCCGCGCGGGAGCCTGGCACTACCGGATTTTCCCGGACTTTTTAAATTCTGGATTAAAAATGGCTTCCAAAATAGAAGGTAAAGCAAAGGTCATTGCGTGCAGTTAAAACGATATTAAGGGCCAGATTACTCCAGAAAGTTAATATTCTAAAGCTAAGAACAGTTGTTTTACTGCTATAAAGAACCTGCATTAAAAATTTCGAGAAAAGAAAGATCTAATCGGAGACTTTCGCTACTTGGAAGTATTGGAAGGATTCCCGAATTGTTCGACAAAAAATTTCAACAAAGAACCGTCGAGTTTAGCTCTTTTTACGGCGCTGGATCCGACCGAATATTGGGGAATGATAAGGGGGTGGGTGTACCTGTTTTTACAGACCGTAAAATAAAAACTACCAAAAAGCGAAACACACCAGAGTGACCCTGAGTGAAAGGGCAACATTTTATATTAGGTCGGCAAGGCTTACATTAGATTTTCTCCCCGTCGCTGCGTACGGTCTCAGTAGAAATCCTAAAGATCAGACCGGAAACAATTCTCACTGAACATGGATAAAAGCAAGTATACTTCAGTCTCACTTGAGAGGCATTTCTCGTCCGGTAACACTGCAGTTCCTGTAATTTGGGCAATCAGCTTTTAATCACAATCAAGAATGTCACGTACATCCATTTTTCGTAAAATCCAGCTAGTGGTCTATTATCAATGCTGCGTTCTGATTGGTTGAGCTACTACTAGGCTATATGTTATAGCCCACTAGTAGCGCAAAGCGCCAGGTTTTGGCGGCAAAAAAGGAGTAAAGTCTGTCTTTAACTAGCTAAAATTTTATTATTCTCGATATTTTTGACCAGCTAGTTGGACTTTACTAAAACAATTATTCCTCTCTGACTCAGAGCCCATCAGGACTCAAGGAATAATTGTTAAATAGCTTAGGTGGACTGTTAGACGCATAATGATTTTTTTTGGCCAAAATCGACCTGTTTCTTTCTTTCTCTTTCAGGGCGCAAACAAATTGTGATGTGTTTGTGTTGACCAAAAAGGACTTGGACGAGGTACTTACGCATTATCCACAAATTCGAAAGAAAATCCTTGAAACAGCTGAGGAAAGGCAGCGGATGGTGGCAGAACGTGCTAAGGCCTTTGCTAAACCTGGGCGCTTATTAAATTTTTGGACCTTGAGAGTGGGCGCTTATTCGAGGTGGGCGCTTATTCGAGGCTGGGCGCTTATTAAATTTTCACCATTTTCAGAAAGTGAAGTATGTTTATTTTGGAACAAAACAATAAATGGTAATGACAAAACGGGAAGAAGTAACAAAGCAAGGTTTCTGTAAAATACTCTGAAGAAAACTCCGTCCTCTGGGAAGTCTCTTATTAGAAATTATTCTCTCAAGTGGGTGGGGTGGGGGTGAACGCTTATTTGAGTTTGATTGAGAAGGAGAGGGGGTGGGCGCTTATTAACTTTTTCTACCTTTAGGATGGGCGCTTATTCGAGGTTGGGTCCTTATTCGAATAAATACGGTAATACACCTCATCATAATGGTTTTAATGACAATACATATCAAAATGGTTACTGACCAAGCGCGAAGTCAAGACGGCTCCATACTGGCCAAGTTCTTTTTTGCGTGTTTATGGACCGACACGAAGTGGAAGTCCATGTTGACCGAATAAGCTTGGCCAATAAAAGATTTATAAAGGAAAATTTTTCTTGCGGGACTAACGGGGGAAATCCCGAGCGGGCAAAATTGGCGGATCTTACCCGCTCGGGTAGCCAATCAGAGAACAGGATTCGCTTTATCTTGCCCGCTTGCGGGTTCGGCCATATGATAAGCGCGATTGTTCTACAAGTTGCGCGGAAAGGTTCGTAAGGTAAGATAAAGCGCATACGAACCATAAAGCCAACATGGCCAGATATCCCGAGGGCCGCATTTCCCGATATTTAATGGACTCGGAAAGCTGTTGACGTTTACATTCAAGATAGAGTTTCAACTTTTTTTTTGCAGATAAAATGATAAAAAAAATCAGTCAACAAAACAAAATTCACTGGTTTGCCAGCTTTTATCCCTTAGATTTTGATTTGAATGATTCTTTGCAATTCGGGCCTGAAAAATACCGAGACTTTATTCCGAAGCAGATCAGAGGAAAGGATTCCCTCCCCCCCTCTCCTGAGAGAATGGGATGTCAGTCCATCGCAGGTTTACCTACGAATGGTACACAATTAAGAGAAAAAGAGGAGCAAAGCTCCCTGTATAGGCCGAAAACAAATGGACACTTAGGCTTCCAAAGTTAACCGTGTTAAGCACTAGGCCACCATGCCTCCAGAAAAGCTCGATCGTGCGCTAATAAAAAGGTGTAATTTATGTCTGTTGAACCATCCAAAATGAGGAATTTATTCTTCGTTTCATCTTGATTTTTTATTAGAGAGCGCGCTGTTCTAAGTTATCTCTTATATACAAACAACCGTTCTCCCCTTCTGAGGTCATGGTTTGGTGGATTTAGGGTTGGAACTGCTCTTTAATTTTAAATTTTATCAAACTTAAATACGTATTCTAGCCAAGTCAAACTAACTTCCTGTTCTGCAGATGTACTTCATTCACCGTGGTACTGTTGAAGTTGTTTCCGAGCACGATGAACCGATTGTGTTCGACACGATGGGGGAAGGAAGATTCTTTGGTGAGATTAGCGTGGTCTTCAGCTGTCCAAGAACAGCTTCTATCAGGTAAAATGGTTCGCCATATATAAAAAAAACCCTTTACCTTTACGTGATAGTGAATTCACTTCGAGCGTAGTTGTAAAACTGTGTCGCAACAGCTCTAAAAAAATCTACAGCATGAAACGCCCGGGTGTATGCTAAATTCGCACCTTCGAGGAACTCGGGCAATCACGTGCACAAGATTCCCCGTTGAGCTATCCCGGGGAAGTATATCCCGGGGAGGTACGAAGAAGTACTCAAGTGACAAAATCAAATGTAACAGCTGACTGAAAAGTCCTTCGCGAAAAGCTTTATGTGTGGTGGGTCCCAAGGTGGAGACGATGTCAGCAAGGTACCTACAATCCTGGACAAAAGTCCTTGGGACAGCAAGAGCATAACAGCAATTCTGTGCGTATCACAAGTAATATTAAAAAAAAAAACAGTGCTATCGATCATTTTAAAAATCCATAACCCCTCCCTCTTCCCCACCCAGTACAATGTTGAAAGATAAAAAAAAAAAATGCCTAGACGGTTTCAACACTGTCCGNCTCTTCCCCACCCAGTACAATGTTGAAAGATAAAAAAAAAAAATGCCTAGACGGTTTCAACACTGTCCGTGGGGTGGGGGGTGGGGATGGGGCCGTGCAGAGTTAGTAGCGCACGGATATTAATATTGCCTAATTTCATGCCGCGCGGGAGCCTGGCACTACCGGATTTTCCCGGACTTTTTAAATTCTGGATTAAAAATGGCTTCCAAAATAGAAGGTAAAGCAAAGGTCATTGCGTGCAGTTAAAACGATATTAAGGGCCAGATTACTCCAGAAAGTTAATATTCTAAAGCTAAGAACAGTTGTTTTACTGCTATAAAGAACCTGCATTAAAAATTTCGAGAAAAGAAAGATCTAATCGGAGACTTTCGCTACTTGGAAGTATTGGAAGGATTCCCGAATTGTTCGACAAAAAATTTCAACAAAGAACCGTCGAGTTTAGCTCTTTTTACGGCGCTGGATCCGACCGAATATTGGGGAATGATAAGGGGGTGGGTGTACCTGTTTTTACAGACCGTAAAATAAAAACTACCAAAAAGCGAAACACACCAGAGTGACCCTGAGTGAAAGGGCAACATTTTATATTAGGTCGGCAAGGCTTACATTAGATTTTCTCCCCGTCGCTGCGTACGGTCTCAGTAGAAATCCTAAAGATCAGACCGGAAACAATTCTCACTGAACATGGATAAAAGCAAGTATACTTCAGTCTCACTTGAGAGGCATTTCTCGTCCGGTAACACTGCAGTTCCTGTAATTTGGGCAATCAGCTTTTAATCACAATCAAGAATGTCACGTACATCCATTTATCGTAAAATCCAGCTAGTGGTCTATTATCAATGCTGCGTTCTGATTGGTTGAGCTACTACTAGGCTATATGTTATAGCCCACTAGTAGCGCAAAGCGCCAGGTTTTGGCGGCAAAAAAGGAGTAAAGTCTGTCTTTAACTAGCTAAAATTTTATTATTCTCGATATTTTTGACCAGCTAGTTGGACTTTACTAAAACAATTATTCCTCTCTGACTCAGAGCCCATCAGGACTCAAGGAATAATTGTTAAATAGCTTAGGTGGACTGTTAGACGCATAATGATTTTTTTTGGCCAAAATGGACCTGTTTCTTTCTTTCTCTTTCAGGGCGCAAACAAATTGTGATGTGTTTGTGTTGACCAAAAAGGACTTGGACGAGGTACTTACGCATTATCCACAAATTCGAAAGAAAATCCTTGAAACAGCTGAGGAAAGGCAGCGGATGGTGGCAGAACGTGCTAAGGCCTTTGCTAAGAAAAAAGAAGAGGACAAAAAAAGAGAAGAAGAAAACAAGCTCAAGGTTTTTTATTATCATTTTTATTTTTGCATGACCTACAGATGGATTAATTAACAGTTAATGATGTCTTAACTCAAATTAAAAGAGGCAGCCTGGTAAAGCATCTGGATCATGATTATACTTAAGACGCGTTGCCTATTCTTGCCACTAAGATTTTGTTGCATCGTGTTAAAGACCCCGAAACTTGTTATTTTTTGTTTAGGAAAAAGAAGAAGGTACCGATCAAGAAACTCTCGTTATTGAAGAACCCGCTGAGCCTACACCAACGTTTCAACAACGCCTGCTTACCAGCGTTAAAGCATTTAAAGCCCGTTTGGCAGACCTGTTTATCCACTTTGTTATTTTGCCTGATAGCAAGCTAAGGCTCATCAAGTACATCAACTGCCTGTTTGTGTTTGCTACGACCCTCACTATAACATACATGGTAAGTAAAACACGTGGTATTCAAGCTGACTCGTCTCCTGTCAACAAGTCGTCTCTTAGTATCCTATCAGGGAGTTTAAGCATCAACGACGGAGACGGCTACGAAAACGTCACTTAAAAAGTAAATTCGCGGTGCTTCAATCTTTATTGCGCTTATTCAATCTCGTTAAACTCGTCAAATGTTGGCAAATTCTCCTGGGGTTGATTTCTAAAGGACTGTGTCTCAGTTTAGGAAAAGAAAAAGAAAGTCGTCTTTTATTCACGTCCTCCACAAAACGTGAAATTAGACACTTTCACGTTGTAGTTGCGCAGCGACGGTAACGAAAAGTGCAGAAAAGCGTGAAGCACATGCAAAGTTGTTGTTTTACTAATCTGAACCTGTTGCTTTTTTGCCGTAACCGTCGTCGTTGCTCAAACTCCCTGGAAGGGCGGTCAATGGGCGCATTCCCATCCATCCTTCCGCTCCCTTTGGTCACGTTTCTCGCGTTCAGTTCTCCGCGTGCGATCCAATTAGAGACGACTGGGAACGAGTCAGGGGGAACACATATCACTAGGGATATGTGTTTGGTATTGTAGCATATTCATTGTCCTAGTCATGCAGTCCGTCGTCGTGAAGGTAACAGGTGGGGGAGGACAGGAGGATGGGAGCGCGGGAGGATAGGGGAGAGAGGGCTAGGCAGGCCTAGAGAGGAAAGTGTGGGAAGTGGGATCTCTAAAAGCGTAGGACTAAGGGGGGAGAAATCCTGGGGAAATTACACAAAAATGCCTAATAGAAAAAGAGCTAAAAGGAGGACACTTTCGTCAGTTGAACATGAACTGCAATATGTTTTCGAATTTCCTACTCTCACTATAACTTAAATCTGTTAACAAGAGTCTGATAATAAGCAAAACACACACTAGTGACGCAGTGCCAGCAGAGAGATGACCTTGACTTAGCGCAACTGAAGAAGGCATAATCCAGTTTTCTAAAGGACACGCGAAACACTTTCTATTCGCTAATGATCACATTCACTCTTTTTTCTTTCCAAAAAACTAGAACGGCACGTTACATAAGATGATGATTACGGCAAAAAGCGAACAAAAATTATATCAAAATTGCCCCAATTACCTCTGGATAAAAATGGCATGAAATTTCTTGTTTTGCGTGGGTAGAATAAACAGTGAATGAAAGCAAAGGGAAAACTTGGTTAGGTGGTACAAATTGACTTTGCAGTTTGCCGTAAACGGCCAGGAGCGACCAACTTCCATGCACTCTTGTCGGCTCGATCGAGGAGTTTCTTCACCGACCAGTTTATTTTTTGAGGGAATTTTGCGCGAACTATCTTTTAAGTACAACATGCAGACCAGTCAGCAAAACCTACAGAACTAGAAATGGTCTTTTTGTGACGTTTAGTTTCCTTGAATGCATTCAAAGACGAGGGGAGCTTTCATTTTCGCAGGAAAAGGTGCTCCAAAATGTCTCCAGAAAGAAAACGGGTCCTGGAAAATGCCGGCAGTGACATAGGCCTAGTATGAAGTTGCTCGCTCCAGATTTGGGCTGCTGTGCAGACATGATTCTAAATCTCTCTATTTCCTCTCAGTAACTTTTGATGGAGCTGGGCCAAACACATTTCATTTTTTAAATTTAAAGTTCTGTTGTGTTTACTGATGTTTACCATCGTATCTCGGTTTTAATTTAGGCTGCTTTTCAAGATCATCCTTGGTATCTCTTTGCCTTTAACTACTTATGCGAGTTATCGTTTTACGTAGAGGTAAGTAACTTGCACATCACAGCTACATTTAACATTCTCATAAAATCCGACAGAACGAAAACTCCCCTTTAACGTTTGTCTTTTTCAGATCTACCTCAATTTCCACATGGCCTACAGGAACAACATTGGTGAAGTTATTTCTGATGGAAAAACATTATTGACTAATTACGTAAAAGGAAAGTTTTTTCTCGATGTTTTGGCTTCTTTTCCTATTGATCTTTTCGCCCTGGCTGCACCTTCGAACAAGCGGCTACTGGTGTTGTCATACCTACGGCTGCTTCATTTGCTTCGCCTCGTACGAATGCAACAGTTTTTCTCAGAACTGGCCCAGAGGTTAAACATCGAGTAAGTATCGTCTTCCAAGTACTGGGTAAACATGCTTTTTCTTCTTAGTCTGTTGTTTTAATTTTTCTAAATTTAATAAATGAAGAAGGTTAGAGATCGGGGACAATTAAAGTGATACCAAGAGTCATTATGGCTCTTGGTAATACCTAGTCCTTCACGTCCACAAACACCTTTCCATAGAGCGAGCGTAGGGTGTTTATATGAAAGGGAAAGTTGACTCTTTGCCCTTAACCTTTGCCCGAGCCAACAGCCCTCGCGCATGCTTTGATTGTCTCGTCTTGATAGAGTTGACCTTGCTGAGCGAGCCAAGTTGTTTATATGGAGAAAAATTGGCCCTGTTCAGAGGGTGACCCACCAATCGCTAACGTGTGACCCGGCCAGTCGGGTCACCCTTCTAGCCAGGCCAACTCTCTGTTTCTAGTGTAAACAGTTCGCCACATTTTGTAAGGGAATGTATGGAAAGTTGGCTCACCCAGGGTAGCTCGGGTAGGAACAGGTATGTTCCCTGTACCCTGGAAAACTTTTCTCCATATTAACGGTGCTTTAGGAAAAATTTAAGTGGAATCGAGTTTAGGTTAACTTCAAACACCAGTCTCAAGCTGATGAATTTCTCAAAATTTTTACAAAAAGCGAACTAAAGGTAAAG